TATAAAATAAATTGATTGATTGACTGGTTTTCAACAAGTTGCAACTCAATGGACTTTACAAGGAGCTTGTTTCCGTCGGATTGAGAAGAAAAAGGACTTTTAAGCTCCATCTACCGTCAAATTCACTACGTTGGCCAATGTTGTTCATACCTGGAATACAAGTTTTCAACTCTAGTTCTCAGCGATCATGCTGCGATGTGGGCGGAGGCAGCTGCCAGAGGCTCTGGAGCGCATCAAGACAATGTCAATGATTCAAGCTGCATCTGCTCAACAATTGATCAAGTACAGCAGCCACCGTTCGAAATGCGTTCCCACTCGGGCTGCTATGCTTCTTTCAGCTCCATGCAGCATCAAGTGCGGTGGCGCACGCGCTGAAACACATTGCCTGATTGGTAGCCCGTGACGATGCATTCGCAGATAGTCTTTTCACTGGGTTCAGTACTACTGCCAGCATCAGGGGTGCGGAGCAGCTTCTCCTCGGCTGAAGCCCCTGTCAGCGGAGGTTCCTCCACAAGTGCTGCTGGAAAGTGGAAACTGTCTTGGTTTCATCTACGAAATGCAGCCCCACTTCCTCGCCATTTTGACAACCCAACTTATACACTAAGAGAAGCCTCTTCTGCACTTCAGTATTCAAATCCAGAGTTTGGCCAATATGTGTTTCCAGCCAAGGGCCAGCGTCGGTTGCGCAAGCAATCTGTCTTTCGGATGTCTTTAAGGGGCGAAACTAAGGGGCAGAATCAGGGGGCCGATGGTCCCCCGGCACAAGATAGCTGGTACATGGGGCTTGACTTTGGCACGTCAGGGGCGCGTGTTATGGTGATCGACGACGATGGGAGCATTCAAGCAAACGCCAAAGAGAGCTATCCAGTGAGTGTTTTCGCAAACCGCTCAATTCCGATGATCGTCTTTGCTTGACCCCCAACCCTATTGTTTGACCACAAACACAACGAACAACGATTGTTATTGGGTGCCATCTGGTTGAGTTCCTTGATCAAGCAGGTCCACAAATTCTTGCAGGCTGCGCCGTGCTGGAGAAGGACTCTCAAAGACCAATCGCCCTTCAAATTTCCGTCCCCCCTTCGGCTTGCAATTTCGAGCTACTCTTGTTGGTGAATGTTGTCCAACCCGCGCATCCTTTGACAGGAGGGCGCTTCTGCTGACTGGGCCAGGGCCTGGGAGGACACACTGCATCATCTCCTCAGCGATCTCCCTGCTGATGTGAAAGCGGCCACCAGGAGTATATCTTTTGACGGTACCTCAGCCACTACCATGATTGTTGACAGGTCAGCAGCAAAGTAGAGTAACACTGGTTCTCGAGTGTGCGATCATCACAAAAAGCAGTCTGAGCTGCACTGCCATAACATGCCAGAAATGATCCCGAGCAGACACTTCTAATGATCAATCTGGTCTTTGGCAGTCTTTGTGTGTAAGTCCAAAGTTTTCAAATACTTCTAACTTAGGGCCGTCGATTCGCAAGAGAGAACCTGCACGGGTCTTGAACTCAGACTTCACTACTCAATTTTTCCCTCACTTGTAAGGAAGTGTCACAAGAGCCCCGGTGAGTTCATTCAGCATGTCCAGAGGCGAAAGTGCTTGTTGCGGGAAATCCCGATCCCAGCTTCGTCTGCTCTACTTACGCAAAAGCCCAATCTCTTTCCTGCGCAGGCAGTCTGGCGAGAGCCTGAGCCCGCCCTTCCTGTACAATGCCAGCTGTCCAGATGCACTCCCCGCAGTGGCTGCGATGGCCCCCAAGCACCACACAGTCACCACCGGAACCTCGACGCTGTGCAAACTGGTGTCTTGGTATTGGCACGAGCACCAGCACAATAGGGAAGGGGGCAAGGATAGCGTGGACGGTATTGCGGACCGTGCCGCACTACTGCATCAGGCGGACTGGCTCGCTTTCCTGCTGCACGGGGTGATGGGGGTGTCGGACTATAACAACGCGTTGAAGGTGAGTGTCCACGTAATCTTGAAGAGAAGAAAGGTTGAACAGGGCTTTTGACTCTCATAAGGGTCTCGAGCTTGAAGGCTTGCACGTGACTAAACATTGATCTCCGTTCCTGTCGAATAGTCATCAAAATGGAAATTTCCGCATGAGAAGACATCGAAATGTCCAAACGGGCTTGGTTCGAGAATCCACCCTCATTTCCTTTTTGCTTCCATAATGTGTCCTTCTTCGCTCTTGGCGCTTGTGTGAAAGACAGTTCGAGGAACCCGTCCCCAGGCCTCAAAGCAGGCCTCAAATTGAATCCTTCCTTTCAGTCCCTCCTGATGATGACTTGTCTGAGCTTCTCTTTCCTTTTCTCATTCCGCCAGTTGGGTTATGACCCTGCGCGGGAGGAGTACCCCGACTGGTTGGCCTTTCAGCCATTCGCTGGGATGCTACCCCGGATTGTCGCCCCAGGATCCGTTATTGGGGCAGTCACGAAAGAGTTGGCCGATCGTCATGGTGAGGCATTTCACACCCGTTCAATCTGTGGTTTCCTGGGCCTTATCGCCCATCCCAAGCCTTGCAGCTCGTCCACGAGTATCCTTTTCGACCTTAACCCCGGGGAAACTTCTTGTGTCAACGAACCGCTGGAGGCATGTCTACGACCACTGAATAAAACGACAAGGTATTTCAGAAAGGTTGAGCTAGAGCGGCCAGAGTTTGTCATCAGATTGAGAAACTATAAACAATAGCTTCAGATGCCAAGATAAGGCAGCGCAATGCTTTGCCATTCAATTGCCAAATCGGTATGCTGCTGGTGCCTAGCTTTGAAACATCAGATCTGAGCTGATTCTATGCGAAGCATCATTTTGGATCTTACGAATGAGAAAGCGGGCGGATATCAGTGGGCCTTGGCAGATGTAAAGAGGCCCGGTGCGTTTTCACATCCGAGGGTCTCCACGAGATGCCTTGCGGTAACCTTTGTTGGCCCTTCTCTTGGCGAAGTCCTCTTAGGACAATCCCACATCCGGCGGTGCAATGGGTGCAGCAGAACGATTGCAACGACCCTTTAGACGGCCTGCAAGGGTGGCTCAAGAACGTCGTCGACTACAGGATCAAGCTATAAAAATGAAAAGCTAACCCAGCACTTTTTCGTGAATCTCGGATCCGTTCTTGGCTCCTGAAACTCTGAGGTCGCTGCAGGCTTTCCCGAGGACTGTGTTGTGTGCGCCGGGACTACGGACAGCATCGCCGCGTTCCTGGCAGCGGAGCCGTCACAGCCGGGCGAAGCAGTAAGCCCCTCGATTCTCTCGTTCTTTCGAAAGTTGGACATAATGAAAGTCGGTTCTGTGTGATTTGGATCGTTCGTAGTGGAGCGCAGCAGGTCCAGACCAACAGAAAGCTGGTACTTGGTCAATGGCAGTGGCTTTCGCTTCTTCTCCACTAAGCCGTACATTCTTGATTCCATCGAATGCGGTAAGATCCTGGCACGTCGAGCCTGACACAAAAGCCTTCGACCAGATCCCTTCGCTCTCCTCGTCTCTGGGGGGCCTGAAAGCTGGTTCCAAACGGCCGCGAAGTATCGAAGTGTGCGGCAAGATCAGTGGCTGTGGTTTGCTTGCGACTACCGTGTGCCCTTCGTCGAATCCAGAGCCTTCGAGCTCTCAATTGACCCCGTTTGCTGTTTCGCAGGTCACTTCGCTAGGTTCCACGTTGGCCGTCAAGTTGCTGAGCACTGAGCGCGTGGATGATGCCCGCTTTGGCATCTACAGCCACCGCCTGAACGACACGTGGCTGGTGAGTAGCCACTCGGGAAGCTTACCACTGGTCGTCGGCCCCGGAAATCGCTGTCGAAGCGCTGCTGGGCCTTACTGTCACATTACTCTTATCTTTCTGGCAGCCATGTTTTGTAGAAGGGGGCAACTGTCGACGCAGAAACCTTGCATGGGTTTACCTGCCGTCGTCCAACACTTGCAATTCTGACCGCATCTTTTTGGATACAAGCTTCTCTGTAACGACTGAGACTCTCACGGGCATCCCCTGTCATTTTCAAAATTATGCCGATCTAACGTAAGGAATGTCGTCGCTTTTTTGGCTCTCACTCCAAGAGGTTTGGTGATTGCCGACCTTGCACACGGCCTTTCCTCGTCTCCACTCAAGCTTGATGTTCAACAGGATCTGATGCGCCCTTTTAGAAAGATTGCAGCCCAACGGATTGCTCGCTTGCGCTAGTGTGCTTTCTCCGTGGGGCGCTGCGAAAGCACTCTGCCATCGCATGTAAGCAATCCCAGTTGGTGGCGTAGTTCTTTCATCCTTCAAAGGTATAGTTAAGAGCGAACCTGTCTCCTGTCTGTATCTGCCAGGTCGGCGGTGCCTCAAACACGGGGGGCGCCGTGTTGCGGACGCTGTTCACGGACGAGCAGCTGGCAGAGCTGACCGAAAAGATCGACGCCAGCCAGGAGTCAAAGCTGCGATACTACCCGCTAGTCAAGCCCGGGGAGCGCTTCCCTGTCGCCGACCCGCATCTTGAGCCCTGGTAAACTCCCACCTGATCCGGATTGTCAGTTATCACTTCAAAAAGCATCCAAGGGAGCTTTTTATCTTTCAACTTTGGGCAAGGCTTGAGAATTGCGCGAGGGCTGTGTGGTTATCCGAAGTCCGGAATCCGGAATCCGCCGGAGGCGGTTCACTTTTGCCTCATCATTAACGCAAGGGTACATTATTTTTACCCTTTTTCGACAGGCGTGTCCGCAGCTCCAACACTCCTGTCAGAAAAGTGACACTGCCACCTGTCTCTTCGGAGAGAGTTGTCAAACGAAGCCATCAAAGAGCCTGGTTGCACCGCAAGTGTCCGTTGGGTTTGTGCAGCCACCAACTCTCTCGCTTCGTCTGCTCGCAGTTTAAGGCCGCGACCAGACGACGATGCAGAATTTTTGCACGGGATCCTGGAGTCAACAGCACGAATAGAGGTAAGCTGCCGCTTTACAACGAATGTTCACTGAGAGCGGTGCTAATTTGACCTGGAAGCTGTGACGCATGATTTTTGCAGGAGACGCAAGCGTAGCTGGCTTGCATTGACGAACTTTTCTGAGGGCGCGTCGGTGACTCCGGGAACCGGGAGACTCATTGCCGTTCCGCCCCGGGTTTGAATTTGCAACAATTGTCTCAAAAATTATACTAGCGCTGTCAGCTAGGCAGCCCATAACAATCCGAGTCCAATCTTCCAAAAGCCGAACAGCCGAAATAACTGGAGTCTCGAACGAGATCTTGCTCTCATGCAGGGAGAAGCTTACCGTCTCCTTCAAGAGTTAGGGGCTTCCCCTCTTACCAGAGTGTACACTGCTGGCGGTGGGGCAGTGAATGACAAGTGGACTGCAATCCGCGCACGCGTATTAGGAGTGCCGGTTGAGCCATCACCACAGACAGAAGCGGCCTACGGGGCAGCTCTTTTAGCTAGACAAGGAGCCCGTCAAAGAGCGGGGTCGCATAAGCAAATGCAACAAACCGCCAAGTAGGCGGTCCTAAACTGTCATTTTAGACGATGACTTCCCAACGTGTGTTGCGCGGTTGACCTAGGTAAATTACGATGTAACAACAACGGCCTACAAACAACCTGTCAGTGCACTTCTATCAACCGCACTCTGCGGACGATGGGGAGCGCTCAATGAGGATCAGAAGAATGATCCGTCAAAAATAATGAGGGCACAAAATTGGAGACAAACTAGTTGTGAGGGGGTTCGGGCAGGAAAGAAGAGCCCAATTGTTCAGCAACACAGCCGTACATGCACGCATGCGTGAATCCCCGTTCTGCATGCACCTGCTCATGGTAAACGTTGACTGAGTCCCCGCCCATGGTGACAGTAGTGCTACAGTGAGTTTCATTTAAGCAAATTCGATGATCCGCAACATCTCTAGTTTCCGTGAGCTATGGTGGCAAAAGAAACTTGTTCAAGTAATATCATGGAATAAATGCTCGATATGGGCAACTTATTATCAAAGTTACCATACTAGAGTGATCATTGCTTCCATTTGACGCGGTCGCTGGCGTTGAGCTCTGATCCGATGTTTGGTTTGTTACTACTAAGTAGCATGACAGGCGCTAGCATGTGTGTCGGCCGGCACTGTCTTTGCAGGATTTCGTTTGTCTAACCCAAGACCCTAAAGACCGTATGCATGCACGGGAAAATTCGGGAGAACGAAGCGCGGCGAACTTGAACCGGGCCGGAGTTGACGAACTCAGAGGGATCCCTGGCGCGAGTCGACCGTGTCTGCTGCTGGAGTCCGGGCATGTGTAATATACGGCCCAGCCGGCTGAAATGATGCAGCGCGCGCACGAAAGAGTAAGACATCGTAACCGTTCTGAGTGCGCTGACTGACCCGCATCGAACGGCCCTCGAGGCCCGTCAAAACTTGCCCAGAAGGCGGCGGCCGGGCCCATCATATATGCGCACCCAATCCAGCACAGGCAGGCAGCCCAACTGAAGTTTGCGCTACTTTTCCCTACCGTAGTCTACCTGCGTAGTCTACCTTTCTCGCTACCTTTCTTCACTTGATAATAGCGTGTAAAATGTACTCGCCAGACGGGGGTGCTTTTGGGCACAAAATTGCTCACCTTGTGAGCTTGATCTGAGTTCAAATTCAGTTTCAAGTTCGTGAAGCCGACCATCACGTGACTGGTTGCGGTCTGTCGGGTGCAATGATCAGCGACGCCATCATTGTATGTAAGTGACATCTGTCAACAGCATGTTGTTTACAACTGCAATGGACGCACGCAATGTGCAACGGGGCGCAGAAAGAGATTCTGAGAGCCAAGAATGAGCTTTTTGGCTGCTGAAAGACCACTAGAAGTTCCTGTCGAGCAAGCTCGAAAAAGTACTGTTCCTGAGCTGTACTGTAAAGGATCTGTGAGCTCAACTAGATTTGATCAGTCGTGTTGAGGCACAAGCTGCGAAGGAAAGCTTCCGCTGCAGGGGATCACTAGCTAAGGAGAGGAAGCCCAATGCTGTGTATGCTGTGGTAAAAAACGGCTGAAGCAGGATGGATTCCAACGAGCGGAACGCCTCACAAGCCAGTACCAGCGCACCGGTACCGGAAGCAGGTCATACCTTCAAAGCTTCCCCGCTCCGAGGATCTCCCGAGCCTGGTATGCGGAGGGTGACAAAACAAGGTGAATGCGTCACTTTGTCCAAAATCGAGCTTCGTGGAGCTCAATTTCATGGTGAAATGTGACTGTATGCAAAGCTGAGAAGAAAATGATACCCGGGATATTCTCAAACGCAGGAGGATCTGGGTCAAAATGCTCGTATTCCGCGTCCCCCTCCTCCACAGAAGGCTGTGCTCAACCAGGGCCAACAATGATGCAGCAAACATAGACTTGCTTATGACATCAAAAAACGTGCACCCAAGTCAAGTGCGTATGTGCCATACCAGGGTTTCGTCGTCAGCAACCCATCATGTCCTTCAAGGACCCTGCCACGGCTGAATAATCATTCCAGCTGAGCACATCAGCTGGGGCACTTGTCTATTCGAACATTCTCGCCGATCAGCAATCTTCACTTTGACAGAAGCTAGCCATGAGCTCAAGGTCCCCGTATACTTGATGAAGGGCGTTGACATCAAACCACTGGGACGTCTGCTAATACGAGGCACTCTTTTACACGCGTCGCTTTTTTGTTTCTGCTCTGCCTGCCCTAGGTGTATAAAGTTGGAAAGGACCTTTACAGGATGCAAAAGTCTGAAGAGGCTGAGCTCTAAATTCCTTGCATGTGCGTTCCTTCAGGGAGTACAGTGCACCAGTCTCTGGACGCTCTGGACCGCATTCTCAACATGACCAGCTTGGACGAATCCGAAGGCAGGATAGGGGAGCTTAGACAGCGGTGGAAGACGAGCGAACGGGATCAAGCGGACTGGCAGGATGATGTGCGGCAGTCTATGGCGCGCTGGAGCCTGCAACGGGCACGTGTTGAGGTCAGGAATAGGCCTTGCTTTCCATCTTGCAGGGATTGAAGCATTGAGATGGTATTGCTCTCCCTGGTTGCGTTTGCTGCAACTGGTGGCAACCAAAAAAGCATATCTAGAGAGAGACACGGCGCTCTCTTCTTCTCTGAGGCCCTCTCAAGGGCAGCTGTTTAAAAGAGCCAGGGGTTTTATGGACCAGAACTTTCTTCAGGTTCCGTTGGTTCATAACGTGCAGAAATCATCAGCATGGAGGAATTCTGATATGGTTGGCTCCCCATCGTACTCCAGACCGATTGCACAATACACGCAACCTCAAAAATTCCTCTGGGATGTAGCGGCGCGTCTATCAACCTCAGCCAATAAGCTTATCACTAGACAAACCTTCATGTGGTCTTGTCACCCTTTGCACCCTGGAAGAGAACCGTGTTCGCCTCTTTAGCGCCCGAACGGGCTCCTATCTAGCTGGAATAAACGGTGAGTCCGTTGATCCCTTGTGATACGAAACCTCATTCTCACCCAACAGGAGGAGATTGTCCGGCGGCAAGAGGCCAGCCGCTACGCCTCCCCCGTCCCCCGGTTCCTGACCCCCGAGCAGTCGCGAGAGCGGGGCCTCTACCGACCAGGCCTGCGAAAGGAGGCCTCTCGCGAGTCGCTCGAGTCGGGGGAGAGCAGCGGCAACGAGTCCGACTGCTCCGTCAGCAGCCGGCGCAGCTTGTCGCCGTACCGGGACAAGCCCAGCATCTGCAACGGGTACCGGCCTGCGGGACAGCCGTACTGGGTGAGCGTCAGAATCGCTGACTTCGTTTCGAGTGTGGTAAAGACGCAGGTTTCCTGGTGTAGCTCCTGGTAGCTGTAGCTTGGGAAACCGGAGGTGTGGACACAAGGGCTGACGGCGTGCTAGAAAGGCACGAGTTTGGCGGATGAGACACGGAAGATGAGTTGCCAAAGGCGAGAGCTTGTTACCAAAACCATAATTATACTTCTTCTAGGTCCCGTTGGTATCTCCTCGAGCTCTGTGAACATGCAACGGTGAGGTTGGAGAGTGAGTTTGGACAGCGCCAAGATTAGGGGGTGCTCTTTTCCCACTGTGACGGTCGACTTTTGTCGTGGACGTGGTGAACTTGGACCGTGAGTAATCCGCTCAGCAATCCTAGGACTTACAACGTGTTTCTAGTAGACGGTCCAGCTGAGAGAGTTCGTGTGTGCTAGGCCAGCACTCCTCGTGCCATATGAGATGACTTTATGCCTTCCCAGAACTTGGTCTCCTACTCAGTTGAGACCAGTGCTCATAGTTACCATCATGAGCAGTGTTGACTTCTTTGTCCGTTCAGGACCTCTCTTTTTGGAGTTTCTTGAAGGCTGACCGAAACAAAGTCCTCGCTGAAGATTGAAGTACAGATGAATTCATTACAGGTTGGGCTGAAAGTTTTCGTGGACTCTCTCTTCTTCCACTCCCACGAGGACTTAGCCATCGTCAGCTTCCTGATGTGCGGCACAATCGTGGTACTTCCGAAACCAGAGAGTACTGGGACCTTTGGACTGTTTGGTTTCTTGGCTGAAGAGGGCGCGCTCTGGCTGCAGGTGCGGCAGCGTCCCTTCTCGGCAAGCGCAGTTCCCGACCGCCGAGCGACCCTGAACGAAGCGACCAACCTCGTTTCTGCTTTCAAAAGACGCGGAATCCGCATCTCGGAAGAAAGGGCCACGCGTGCGCTCCTAATACCTACTGACAAGCCTTACGAGGACTGCATAACCCGGCTGCCAAAACCAGGGGCGTATCTGACTGCCCGGCTGTCGACAGATGTGTCGTCAAGAGACAAGGGGAAGAAGAGCCCCAAAAAGGGGAAGAAGAAGGGTTCTGGAGAGAAGAAAAAGGGCACGAAGAAGGGCAAAAAGTAGTGCAGATCGTCAAAGCCTGTCGTTCGATTATTGAGCTTTCACAAGTCATACCAGCAGAGCTACAGCAGTCAAATCAACAGAAAGTCAGTCTCATGCAGCGCACGCGTACTTGTGGGGTCATTAGCTTTAGGGCAAAGCAGCTAGTGTAGCGTGTCGTTTGTAGCTCGGGCTGCGGCCAGCGCGCGAAGTAGCGCTTCATCATGGCACCGTCGTCAATGACGCACCTCTGTGCTGTGTGGCAGACGATTCTCCTTGAGAAACGGTACCATGCTTTCCTTGTCTACAACTGTGGACTGACAACTACCCCGCGGCAAATTTTAAATCCCCTAGAGTTTGTTCCATCATGGTCTTCTCGACCGATCATTGATGCACCTCGACATATACATACCAGTATGCGCAGGTGCGCGGATAGCAAAGCTCGCTTTAGGCTCCCCGGATCTATACTCGATCGCGGTGAATGCACCGGTTTAGCACGGCAGCATGCAATTGCATGAGGGTGATCGATCGATATATGTAGACGCGCAGCTCCAGCTCCAGAATGATCTACAGAACTCGCGCACATCCTGTGCGATAGCGCGGGCGGCCACCTTACACAATGTCGACACCTATATTGCATCAATGTGGTATAAACACTGCACCTTTTGCAGCAAATCTGCTTCGAATCCGGAAATCCGTGTGTTCCTGCAGCTAGGTAGCTAGCTAGCTTATGCATAACGGCTGTCATGGGAGGTGCCTTGTCCAAATCTGAGCTGGCTGCTTGCCTTATTTATATACAAGCCACTCGCATGGTTCATGGAACATAGTCTATCATGTGCACAGTGCCTGTACGACGCATGGAATTGGAAACCGCATGGCCTCGCACCTTGATGAACGCGTATCAGGCCTCTTCTCTGACAATGTTTGAAGGGCCTGCACAGCTTGCAAGACCTTCGACAAGGAGTCCTGCGCCTCGGCGCACGGCTGGATTGCCTCCGAGAGTGCAGCCTTCTTTTGCGCCGTCCTCTCAACTTCGGCCCTGAGCCGAAGTTCTCTGACCTCAGCATGCAACATCCTATTTGTAGACTCTAGTTGAGCCCTCTCTTGATTCGTCTCCACCCTCCAGGCAGCCACTTGGGCAGCCACTCTATCGAGGACCACGCTTTCTTCATTTGCCCGTTCCAACTCAAAACGTAGGTTATCCTCCCGCATGTCTGGGAGGTCTTCAGCAACAGACAGTCCGACCGGCTGAGATTCGCTTACTTCCATTTCTACTTCATCCCGCATGAACCAGGAATCACCAGAAAAAGCAGCAGAGGCTACATGGCTGGTGGACTCAGTACCTAGGTCTTTCACGTTCGGATCCGTTTGCATTGATTGGCCACGTGCTTCTTCAGCCACACCCCTTCCCGAAGCTCGAGCTCCCTCACGGTGGCCCATTTCGAAGCCTTCCCTGAAAGAGCAAAAGAACATGTTCCGTTAATGACAAGAATAAGCTCAGGTTCTGCTTCAAGAACCTCGAGAAAACCGTGCCTTGAGGTAAGGCAGGCAGAATAATCTGCACTTTCAATCGCCTATCCTGTTTGCTCTCAACGTCGTCCCTAGTTTCGACCGTCCTAAAGGCATGCTCGAAAGACAATAATTCGAAACATCTTCTTCAGAGAAAGCCTGTGTCAGAAACGGAGCTCAAGCGGTTCAACAAAAGATGAAAGACGGCAAAGATACAACCTTGTTCAAGTCTGTATGTCCAAAAGACAGAATACAGGTTGACACAGGCATTCAAGTGCATTGGAGCAAGTTCTACCTGGAGTACCATACGCTATGAATCTTGTGCCAACACGTTTAAGCATAGGCCTCAGGCCGTCAGGTAACCTTAAAAACGAAATCATACGCACCTCGCTAGGGAAGCCTGCAGAGCTGCCTTCGTGGCCGCCAGCTCATGTTCTGTCCGCTCCATCGCCGCTATCTTATGCTGCTCACACTCCTCCCGGGTCTGCCACACCTTCTCTTCGACCAGCCTGCATCCGAGAAAAGTCCAGAGATAGCAAGGTGACACACAGAACGCTCATTTAGATCATCATCGAGTCAAGCAGGCAGGCGGATTACTGTCGATTGTTGTTCAGTCCCCGCAAGCTTTGAACGCTTCCATGTCTGGCATTCAGACACGGCACAGTCTGGCCTGCTGATATCCTTAAACAAACAATCTCTGAGATCCAGGTCCTGCTGATCAAGTTAGGCGATGATACTGTTCTGGAGACAATCGGTTGAATGCTGATCCCAGCTCTATCCTCCAGGAGCACATGGCTCATTGGGCCACAAAGATATATTCTTACCTCTCTATGGCCGCCAGCTCAACGACCGTTGCTCCCTCCAGACTGCACTCCAGTCGCTTTGATGCCTCCAAAGCCCTGGCACAGCTTGCAGCTACCTGCCGTTCCAAAGCTTCCAACCCCTTGACCACTTCCTGCCGCCAAATAGAGGTCTCTTCTCCAGCCCCGCCTGCTTGAGACGCCATCAACTCCGTTTTGCATTTCCTGCTATTAGGGATTTCCGTATCAACATGCGCTGTGGGTGGATTTTGCACGCGCTGTGTGCTGCCTGCCTCTAAGCCAGCTCTGTAGGCTTCTTGAATCAGCGACTGAAGAACGCCTCCGCGCACCAAGCGGCGCGCTGCCTCCTGACCCGCCTGCAGAGGACAAAGCTTGACTTTACCAAGACATTCCTGGGGACTTACTCCCAACACTTCTGGCCGTTGGTGGCCTCCTGCTCAAAGAGAGGGCAGAGCTTCTTGGATTATCGTTTGAAACCGATTTGAGCTGAGCAGGGAAAACGTACGAGTAAGAAGTTCAGAACTTTAGTCCTTGTGGAAGTTTGATCATTCCATCATTGCAAAGAAACAAACGGTAAGTTCCTGCCGATTGGCGCCCCACTCATCAGGGCAGATTGGTGAACGCTGCTGGGTCAAATTGGGATTGAAACCCAGTGGGCCTACAGCTTGGGGACACTTACCTCCCTCACCCAGCCTTGCAGGTTTTCCCACGGACCCACAGGTGTTTCCTGTGCTACTCTTTGAGCAGGCCCGGTTTCCAAATTCCCTCTTCCCATACCCTCCGTTTCTATTGGCTGCGGCCTCTGTGGGCGCCCTGAGGCAGCCGCATCCGTCGCGATGCTGCTTATCCGTGTGGAATTTGGGGGACCATCTTCCCGGACGTAAGGCCTCTCAACATCTGAAGGATGCGCCCCATTCCTTTCGCCCCTCATATACACAGCAACTCCATGCCAGCTCCGGAACGCTTTTTGCAGTAAAGCGATAGCATTGTGATCCAGCTTGACTGGTCGTACTGTTGCCTGTTCCTCCTGGCCAGAGCACAGCAAAAGAGAATTTCAGAACCTCCTTTACCTTTCCTCATCAAGTTCAAGGCATAATTCAATTGCCATGTCCACCCCAGGTACTTCCGACATGCATAAGGTGCTTTAGACACAACATGAGCACTTGTAGCCCAATAAGATCTCAGTCCTGATAGTGCCCATCAGAGAAACTAGTGCCAGTGGGTCCAAGTAACAGCCTGAGCATACTTGAAGCATCTGAGACCAGCTGGTAACTTCTAAAAGCTTCAAGGAACCCATTTGCAAGCTGCTCTGTAGAAGCGGTGCACTGCAAAGAACGATGTCCACAAATATCAACTGGGCTCCAATCTGCTCTAGAATTGCGCACAGGATCGCTTACCACAGCTTTCTCTTTGGAGTGGCCTTTTTGGCTTTGTCCTTGAATTGCCACTCCGCTACTGGTGTTACTGTTTTCGAACCAGAGTCTATTCAACTGACTTCGTAAAGAACCACGCTGATCCACAGGTCGCCTGCTTACATCTAGGCAGCTATCTGTTTGTCTTGTGTCGACTGCCACGGGGGTAGTATCGACCAATGATGATGCTGGCTTGGACAAGAAGTCATGCAAATCAGCCTTCCATTGCGATGCTTCTGGGTCCATCATTATAGCCTGGAAAATACATACTTCATTGATGCTGGTATATTAATTGTCGGAGGCGTTCTGCATCGCCTGCAGGCTCGCGACCAATCTGCTTCCATCTCGCAGGCCTCTGCATCAGTCAGTGCTCCCCGGCCTATTACCTAGGCTGGCCTCCCAAATGCAAGGGCCGGAAGTGGGAGCCTCCATGCGGCTCCGCATGCGGCACCACATCATCAATAGATAACCTAATTACCTAGTAATACCTATGTACCTAGGTACCTCCTTGGCAGGAGTCCTTGCCTGAGACTCAGTGAGAGGGTCCTTGCCTTGAAGTGCACAGCGACAATGCGCGGGAATCGATTCAAATTTTGAACCGCTGCAGCTGCGGCTAGAGCTTAGTTCGCGGCCGCCGGCCGCCCACGCGAGCACGACGTCGTCGTGCTTCGCACAACCTTACGGGTAATACTGTAGATGTCCGCGAGCGATTTCCTTTTATCGAATGTTGAACCGTCGATCTTCTGACGTCAACGGTTCAGAAGCTCGGGTCATGAACTTATGTATACCGCAAAGGTACAGTAGCCCCAAGTAGGCCTCAGGAAAGTGGCCTCGGCCTCTCCCCACGTCCATGATATAGGTACCCCATTAAGGTACAGTATTGCACACAGCAGCCAGCTCATTTAAATACATTCATTCTAACAAGTTCTGTCCACATCATGCACAGGTAAAAAACTACCGGTAGGTCGTGAGCTTGAACTACGCCACAATGAACCCAAATCAACCTTGATCATTCTGGATCGACCACTTCCGAAGAACTGAACCGAAAGAGGAGCTGAACTTAGAAGTTAGAGCTCAAGCAGAGCGATCGAAGGGCAGCAGCTGGCTGCTCCACTCGACGTGAATGCAAAAAAATTGTCATTGTTGCAGGAAGGGACTAGGAATCAAGGCCACCCCTCCATAAGGTGCTGAGAGACATACTGGTACGGCATAGTCTGTTCCTGTAAGCGTTCTGTAAGCGATGGCAGCTCGAGAATTTAGTAGGCATTGCAAATTGAGCTAGCCTGAGGCAAAGAAGCTTCCTGACTTGGTTCTCAATATCGAAGTAGCAGTTCATTTCAAGGAAGCGTAGTGACAGACAGGGCATTGCCTGATCTATTCGCAAGGATGGACAACTTGAATGACACCGATATCAACGTTGGTGGGGTGACAGGAAACACTGCGATCCCCATTCCATCGGTAAGGAACTTCCCTCTTCTGCACAGCAGAGCTCGATTCTGTTCTAGACGAGTTCAACGTCTAGCTCAGGAACTTAGTACCAACTTGCATCATATTGCTCAGAACATTTCAATCGTAGTGCTTCAAGCTGTCTTGCATGAAGCAGTGATTGTGAAAAATTTGACAGCTTTGGAGCATAATGGACAGTAACCTTGCAGCATTTGCCCTTCTTGCAGGCAGGAGAGGGTTATGATCAGGAAACAATTGCCAGTCTGGGCCTCATGGTTCAGTTTGTCCTCCTCGGAGTTGTATTTTGCCTTGGGCATGTTCTCAGGCGAAATAAGATCATTATAGTTCATGAAGCTGGAGCGGCCCTCCTGCTAGGTGAGGAGATCGACTTACATTCCAAATTCAGATGAGCGTCCGGCAGACATCTCCTGAACGGGAGGTTCCTGTCTTGGCATGAGAAGATTTTCTAGCACAGAAGTTGTTTGCAAAGATTTCCATAGGCATTCGTTCAAAGCTGGAATAAGACATACTGCCAGATTCTTGCTTCCAGGCCCCAGCAAATAGTCCGCAGCAAGAAGAGAACTCTTGCAATGCAAGTAGCTGATTCTACAATTCCACACGTTTGTGCAGGGGTGGTGGTTGGGTTGTTTGTAAAGATGGTTGGCCAGGCTAGTGGGTTTAGGTGAGTCCCACTAGCTTCTCAGTCGTGGTTAGGAAAGCGAGCAGCCTTGAACCACTATGCTTTCGGCTTCTTGGAGGATGCTCATTTCAGAATTGTAGACTGTACTTTTTGGATGATACTTACCAAGGTGTAAATGCTTGGGCTTGACTGATCTGCTCACATCACCTGTCTCTTGAGGACAGAATTTCTGGCTGACTCTGTGGTGGTCATACCCTTGTAGCCAATGGATCAACTTCAACAACAACTTCTTCTTCTACTTCCTGCTCCCTCCAATCATCTTCGAGTCAGGCTGGAGCCTGCAAACGGTAAGCATTTGAGATGGGACATGCTGAGCTTTGCGTCTTTGATGACCCCTTAGCTTCCTGTTCCGAATTCTATGCAGAAGCTGACAAGCTACAAACCAATCCTGGCCTCATGCTCTAGCGCTTCCCTTGCAGAGTACCTTTTTCAAGAACTTCGGAGCAATTTGTCTGTTCGCATTCGTGGGAACAATCATATCGACCTTTGCAGTGGGGACAATCATGTAAGTTTCATCCCAGCACACTCATCTTTGTCGCAATACTAGCAGTAGGCACAACTAATAGATTGGGAGCTTTTAGACTACATAACGAAGTGGCGGTTGCGATTGATGGGCATTAGTACTTGCTATATTGGCAATTTTGACCTGTTCCGCTTTCTTCTCGTCGAGATTATACGCATCAGAAGCGTGTGCCCCTTATCAGTCATATGCTTTATGCTCAAATGAAACCGTCTGTTTTGCTCGCAGGTGGCTTTCAGGGCTTTGGGGGCTGTCCTTCCCGCTTCCTTTCCTTGAGTGCATGACTTTTGGTGCCCTGATCTCGGCTACTGACCCTGTCACGGTCCTTGCCATCTTCCACGTAAGGGACCGTGCCCACAGCTTCTCCCTTATACAAGGAACTTCTGCGACTTTCAAGTCGAAAAGCAAGTTGTCAGCTTCAAGTACGATTGCAAACTTGGAATCTTCCATTGACGGGCTGTGCAGCTTGTCAACGTGGAATATCTGCATGGCTGTAATAAAAGTAGGGCTGCTGCCATAATGAGAACGTGACTCCATCCAGGACTCATGAACGAGCAAAGTTCATCGTGAGTGTCATCTCCTTCGCAGGAGCTTGGAGCGGACGGCAACTTGTACTCGCTCGTTTTTGGAGAATCCGTTCTTAACGACGCTGTGGCTATCGTCATGTACAAGTAAGAGTTTACTCGTCCAATTCGGCTTGGTTGTAACATGCATGCACTTCGCCCCCAACGTTTCCTCGTCAAGTAGGACTTCAAGCTTCCAATATGAGTCATCTTCAGCATTGCCTCATGACTTCGACAGGACGTGGTGGATTTTCTACGAGCACTGAATTCATACGCCCTCGTGTCTATGCAGAACTGTCCTGGCCTTCGTCTACACGCCCATCAATGAGCGCGGCGTCTTCCTGGCCATCTGGTTCTTCATCGTCATCTTTGTTGGATCCACCCTCATTGGTGGCCTCGTCGGCATGCTCAGCGCCCTCGTTTTCCGCTTTGGAGGGTTCTCAGAAAAGGGGTGAGCACAAAATGTTCAGGCTCTGGATCTTTCCTGCCGTCTCCGACTTCTATCTCTTTCTGCGCGACATAAGCGGACTTCAATAAGGTTGTTGGAGGTTATACCAAAACCAACAGTGCCTAACTGTCTGCTTCCTGCATCCAAGACCTGTGCTAACTAGATCACCTTGACATCATCGTCACAAGGAGAGAGAGATTGCTCCAAAAGTTGCCCGATCTCTAAAAGCTGTTCCTATCGTTCTGCAGGCTGCACGTCATTGAATGCTGCCTGGCGTGCCTCTTCCCCTACATCGCGTAAGTCGACCATATTCATTTCCATATTGTCCTTCAGCCATTCAGCCGTTCCCACTCCTTCTCGCTTGGTTCCAAAGAGGATCGCTGCAGGCTTATAGTACTGACCTGAATCGCTTACGGACCGAATGGCGAGCCCTACTGTCCAGAAACTTTATTGGTTGGTAGTCAAGAACAAACGCGAACTCAAAAGGACTGATCTCAGCTTCTCTTTGCACGCTCAGGTATATGTTGGCGAACGCCTGTCAGCTGTCGGGCATCGTTGCCATCCTCTTCTGCGGCATTGTAAGTGCCGGTTCCACTCAAACATTCCGGAGACTTTTGCTGCCACAAAAAGGACTATTCCTGTCGCCGTTAAGATGGACATTGCGGGCCCCATTTCGCAACGCTTCGCAACTCAGATAGCGTCCACACGTCGGCTGCGGACGTGCTTCGTCCCTCAGGCTCCAACCGATTCATGGCCCCATTGTACAGGCGATGCGGCATTACACGCACGACAATCTCTCCGAGGAGGCTCAGAAGCTGTTAAGCGGCTTCTTCTCCATGCTGGCCAAGCTTTCGGAAACCTTTGTGTAAGTAGTTTTCCCAGACTTGGGCTTTCGTGTAAGTAAACTTTGGTTCGGGCTGAGTCAGACTAGCTTCGGCCAGGCAAGGCGGTGCTCCAATTCGACGTCGAGATGGTATCCAGTAGCCTCACCGAAGGAAGCGGGAAGAACAGTGGGATAAGTTGCAGACTGAGTCATAATGCTTCTATACCCGACCCCTTAAGAAAAGGCTAAGCGGCAGGATGAGTGCGAATGCACGGTAAGCTTATGCAGCCAGTGATTACTGCCACCCACGATTGTAATCGAAGCTCTGGTTGAGTTGTACTGCACAACTGCCTGTTTGCAAAGCTTGTTGCGTAGCAGAGTCTTCGTCTAACACTCTGAGGTATTCTTTGTGTCCCGCAGGTTTATCTATCAGGGCGTCGCCCTTTTCCTGAATCCTCAAGCCTGGGACAAGAGCCTCAATTTTACGGTCATCTCGATCTTCGCCATCCTTTTGGCGAGGTAAGAGCCAGTTCGCCTTTCCGATATACAGTCTGCTTCTATAAGGCGCTGAAGCGCGTCAAGTCCACTTTGATTTTCATGCAGTTGAGGTCTCTCGCGCGGGCATTGCTTTGCATAGAACACGCTCCTTTACTTGGATCTTTGCCCTTGCGTCCCTCAAAGTGGCACGTTAAGAACTCATGTTGTGGATGCAGATTGCTCAACGTGTACCCTTGCGCGTGGGTAATCAACATGTTCCGGCCAGCAGACAGCAAGATTCCGTCCAAGCATCAGCATGCGTTGTGGTACGGAGGTGAGACGCCTGCTCCTTCCTACCCTTTACTATGTGATTGAGGCCGCTTTGCATCAGAAGCAACAAGAAAGCGCCATCTCGGAACTGTCGGATAGAGTTGTTGCTTGAGAATCTCATCTGCGAGCCGTTTATCGCCTTTGAGTTCTCATACTTTACGTGCCGTGGGCTTTTTCTGTATGCCTATCTGGATACCTTTGCCAATATCTTCAGAGCCTATCGTTGCACGATCACATCAAAAAATACGTATTCACCAGGCCACCGTGCCCGGGTTATTTCCGGAACCTCCAACCCCACTGAAATAGGCTGTGCTTCGTTCGTGTCCTGGCAGGTCTGCGTGGCGCCATGGCCTTCGCGTTGTCTCTCCAGTCCGTGACGGACTTGCCGGACGGCCACGGCAAGATTTTCCTCACCACCACGCTCTTCACGGTCCTCTTCACGGTGAGACGACGCAGAAGGCTGGTTGAGCTCTCTATAATATCATCGAACAGCCGAACGATCGACCCTTCAGACCTTATAGCGTTCTGGCGTTTCATTGATGACGACTGCAAGAGCCGTTAAGGCTGTAAACCATTGACATGCTTTTGCTCTCAAGCACAGCCTCTGAATAGCGGTAGTGTCCCCTTGACCTCCCTCGAAGACCGCTTCGAAAACGTCAGGCACAGCTGGATGAAGGACGGTCAGCCTGCATGGGGCGGTGCGCTGATCCAGTCCTCTCGCTGTAGGTTCTGACCATCGGCGGGTCGACCGGCAGCATGCTTAAGCTGCTCAAGATCGAAACAGAGGAGGAGATACAGACGCGGGAAAGAGAACGGCAAGCGCAGCAAAAGGGCATCAAGGCGCCGGAAGATATTGAAGACCAGGTAATGCATTGCCTTAGCTGATGTTCCAAGCCGCGGCACTCGCGAGCCCTTGGAAAAACCATTGCCGTTTGTCACGGACTTCAAGTGGTCCCTCTCTTCTGCGAGTATTAACAGATTACGTAGCGCTTCAGACATATTCTCTTCCGAACTCGACACCAATGCCTTTACGAGATCTTGAAAGAGTCTGCTAGCTTTAGGCTTGAGCAATACATGTGAATGGAACCATTTGCTTATTCTTCGCAGGACGAAGACGTCGAGCCTCGCAAAGGTCTTGTGAGCCCTGCGCGCATTCAGGCCAAGATGAAGAAGAAGTTCAGGAAGCTGAAGAAAACGTGAGTGAATGCTTTTTGAGTCTTCAAAAGTCCACTCTTATTCTTGTAGTATAGCGATGGAGGAAGCAGCTCACTAGCAGCAGCTCTGATTGGGTCCGTCTAGGCCGACAAGATCTGCAGGGACGTTTGAATGACGCGTAGATTTGTGCAGAACGAAAGTCGCTTTGATTCCGCGCTGCTTGAAGCAGGATGAAGCAGGCACTGCGTGTGTCAAACAGGAAGTCACTGTTTCAGTGCTTGTTTGATTAAAAGCACAGACACCTATGTTTTCAGAACCTTCATAATTATTGTGGTGGGTCAGCTCGTACATCATCCAATCACTTCTGCCATCGAGGTTCAATGCAAAAACAATGTGGGTTCCTGCAGTGCGAACTTCGAACACATCGACCGGAAGTTCCTGAAACCTATCTTCACGGGGACCAGCGACAGCGAAGCGAGCGCAAGTGAGACGGAGGGGAGTCCTGCGGGTGAGCAAAGAGTCCCCGGGTTCTGCCGACGAGACCTCTTACAGATCCGTCTTAATCCTGCAGATTCCCAAGCCGCCAATTGCTCCTGGTACTCTCCGCGCATCATGAAGTTTGAGGAGCGTGGATGCGAGCAGCCTTGTTTATCCAGACTTTATCTCCCAGTCACATCGTTTGAGTATGAAGGAGAAGAGGTTGCAAAGCACGTGCGCACTTGGTGTCCTGTCGTAGCATCTGCAACAAGGGCAGCGCAACATCATCTGCTGTCGACACTTGCTCGTGTTCAAATCCTGCTGAGCATCGTCGTTACCTTAATATGCGCAGGGCATGGGGAAGCCGCGAAAATGATCGAGCTAACCACTGCCCGCTCGCTGACACGGCTGGCCAACAGCAGCATCCTGATGCAGCCAACACTGGAAGCCAGCGAAGATAACGAGGTGGATGACCGTGATAGCGTCCGATTGATTGTTCCCACATCCGATTCTAGGGGCGCCGCCAAGCGGCGATCAACGGGATACTAGTCCTGTACTCAGCGGTGCGGGCTGTCTGAGAGATTTTGATAGCTTCCCAAGCGTTGTTAACAATACAATCTGAATCTGCCCCCCGGCCCAGTCTGCCGCATATCAGACACATGCTGCGTATTGCTGGCCATGCATCAAACGACTGAGTGTATGAAGTATTCACTGAGCGAGACCAGCATTCCCTGCGGTACAGTGCAAGATGTATCCTTTCATTCGAAACACGGGCCGTGCCGCGCCGTGACGCAAGTACCGCCACGCCGGGCTTCTGAGACTGGACCTCTTTCAAACGACTGCTCTTTCCGATTCGGACTGGTTAACGTGCATCGACATATATGACTCTCATATGCATAAGGTGCGATCAGCGTGCTTACGGGTACTAGCTATCCATGCTTACGATCTGATCATGTGGCAAGACTGATTACGGCGGCCCAGCCACACATATCTTGTGGGACGTTATAAGCTTAAGGTCTGGTGAACACTGGGCCTGCGCGCCAAATACTCCCGAGGAAAATCCTCTTCATGCAATGCATCGGGCATTCGCTGATCAATAGTCGAAGCTGGTCTATTTATATTATAACAGGAAATTAACACTAGGATCTGCACAACGCCGCGTGCATGTCACGAAAATGCTGCAAACCGCATATGCGCAGCTCCAAGACAAACATACCGGTAATCCAAGTTCAAGTCGGACTGGGCAGCAGGTCTGTAGGTTGATTGTTGCATGTGCAAGCTCCTTTGCGTGCTTATTAAGTTACAGTGTTGGACCCGCTCGAGTTTTCAAGGAGATCCCCTATGCTTATGAACATGATCGGTGCAGCTATACACTCAAAGCCTTCCAGAGCTCAAAACTTGTGTGCCTAATAGATTCACAAAAACAACCTGCTTACGGCAATCCAACAGACACGGTCTGCCTCTTCGGCGTACCGTGCTTTATGTCCCTCTCAACGACATTCACCACATCGTATTAAGACTATCAACTCGTGACTATGCAGCTCTGTGAGACACACGAAACGAAACACGGGCCGAGAAGGACAAATCTTGCGAGCCTGCATTCTCCCGCCAGTTTACACCTCTGGATTGATCAACCGTTCCAGATAGGGCGGGATGTAGAAGGTGCTCGGGAAGGTGCCTGTAACCGTCGAAATAATTGCAAGTCTTACTTGCTAGCAGAATCGGCATTCTGGAATCGAAAAGTTCAAACACTGCTTTTTGAGCAAGGTCAGTGGCATGAGGGCTGGGAGTGCTTCTTAGAAGGGTGTGCCGAATTCCCTCGATCTTGATCGTCGTTGCGCATCGACACTAACGCATGAACAGGAAGAGAAATCTTTAGTTAGACCTTCAAAGATGCTCGAAGCACAGATGCTGTTGCTGAAAGGAATATTTGGGACACTTTCTAGGGACCGGGGGTATGCATCCGGCGGGTAAACTTACCAGCACTGTTTGGGAAGAGCGTGATCAGGAGGATGGCAAACAGGGACAAGCCCACAGCAAACCTGCAAATATGGAGTCTCTCTCCAATTCAATGAGTTCTTGGCAGCCTTTGACCATCCTTTTCTTTGAACCGATAAACAAGTGAGCACGTTCCCATCCCCCTCCGTTTGCCAGGGGTACGATGATTCAATTGTTTTGTACTAGACAGTCAGGCTAGGAAGCAGTAACTCTCGGCTCACAGCAGAAGCATTTGCTCATCGCGCATACTCAACCCAAGACTTCTCTCCAAAGCGAACCGTAAAACGTCCTCCTCACCTCCACTTGGTCACGGGAGTGATCTCATCAATCGCCGGCAGCTCCTCCCCGCCCCGGAAGAAGAGCGCGATGAAGCCGACGGCCAGGCACAGCACGCTGCCGCTCAGTCCGCCCAACCCGAGCAGCAGATTGGTGGTGAAGCTGATGCGGCGCGCGATCTTGCGACCGAAAAGCGCCTGCGCGATGCGGCCTCCGCTGAGGCGCCCCGATGGGAGCAGGTCGATCGAAGACACCACGATGCCTGGAGGGACGCAAGGTGGGCGTCAGCGCGGGCAGGGAGGTGGCGGCGTGACGTCAGCGGGATTTGTTGGGCGCTGATGTGGCCGCAAAACGGTGTCTGTTCGGTTGAAATCGACCCACTAGCATTTGGAAGAGAGTACTGTAGGTCCGGTTGTGCGGGAGAATCAGCAAGGTCCACTCGCGGCAAAGATGATGGCTCGAGCGCTGGATTGCAGGGGACTTACTGGCGGCCAAGGGACGGATTACAGAGCAACCTAGAGCGGCAGTCACAAAACCTGTGTCTCTGGAAAACGAGAACGATGCGAAAACTTTGTCTTTGGTGAAAGGAGGGCACTGAAACTAGTTCAATGAGGAATATTTCGTGACGCGCTACTGTTCATGTCTGGCGTATGCCAGTCAAAGGTTCCATTGTGACAGCTCAACAGATAGTCAACCGAGGAATTCTTGTCTTATACACTTTGCAAGGTAACACGCCTGATAACTAAACGAGATCGTCGAAGGAGTGTCGAACGGCATTGGATCGCACACATCCTGAGCAAAGAGCTCAGACCTTGTGTCGCATCTCGTCATAGCCGTTCGGTGCCACTTACGCTTACAACGAACGCAATGAAGATGATCCGACTTTCGATTCCTGTAGAAACGCATACGAGCGGCCATTGATACAACGCCAGATTCTTCCCTCGCGCTGACAGACATGTAGAGCGTCGCGTTAAGAGGCTTCCCGTAAGCCCTTAGTAAGGTACGCCTCACCAGGACAAACCTCGAAACGAAAAAGCATATAGAGGAACGCGTCAGCATGACAAGGGGCTGCCCGCCGCTCACCAAAGAGGCCCCCGAAGGCGAGCGGATTGACAGGCACTCCGAGGCCTTCCACGGCCTGCGGCAGCACGTTGCCTAGCTCATCCGAGTACGGACCAATGACGTACTGGATGAAGGACACCAGAGGGTTGTTCACGAAGAACGTGGGGGTTATGTACCTGGCAGCGGCAGAGGGCTGGATTAAGAAAGAATGTTCGCATCCTGTGGTGTTCAAGGAGCTGTCCAAGGTTCTGTCCTCAGCTCGAGAGAACACGCCATGGGCATGCATGTCCACAGAAGTTTGAGAATCTAGGGCTGCAGGCGCAATAGAGTACATTGGAGAAGGTCGACGCATCCGGCTCTAGAAGACAACGACGATTCAAGCCCGAAGTGCCAGAAGAAGCCTCACACTTGCTACTTCATCTCAACTAGTCTTAACGCACAGGCAGCGAGCAAGCCATCAAGCTGGACCAAGAAATCGAAGTACTGAACGGAGCAGACGCAGACTATTGACGGCAAGTACCCGTTCCCAAGTGACAACCCTGGGACTGGCGCATCCTGCAACCTAAAGAGGACCTGAGTACGTAAAGGTACTTACAGCGGATGCGGTCCACCAGTGGCGCCTTTATCGCCGTACAGCGCCACTGCTGCCAGGACCAGTGACGTCAGCAGGGCACTGCCAGCTCGAACCGCGGCAACATCGAAGAAAGCTGCAGAAGCCAGCAGAGGGGATTGGGTGTCAATCACACTGTCACAACCGGACCTTTGAAACCACGACGGAGATAGATTGGAGCCTTCCAATGCCTTGGTCCAGTTTTGGGAACCTCGATTGGGTATCCTTGTAAGCGTCTTCCCTACCAGACGTTTAAGTGCTATTGAGCTACTTAAGTATATTACTCTTTCCGATACTCTTTCTGCAGTCGAGCGTACAGAAACCACTATGAACGTCTTACTTTAGATCGCGATCCCTGATACACTCGAGCAGCGTGGTTCCTGAACCTTGTTCACCGAAGCTGATTTTTACAGCCTCACATGCCTGCTACTTTTTAGAGGCTGCTACCTTATCCTTGCAAAGACCAGGAACTTCGCACCTCACTTTCCGCTTACCGTTTCTGTCTGGCAGCACCGACTCGAAGCTGTTGGCGAGACCGAGGCAGCCGGTCCAACCGGACGGGATGAATACCGTGGGACCCAGCTTCACGCCGTTCTTCTTGGCCACCAAACGGGTGGACGTCTGCAAGAACAAGCAAGCTTTTCCTTAGTAGAACTCTGGCTGGATCCCCATAAGTTGGCGACTGGTTACTTGGCAAATTTGGGGATTGTGAAATCAAAAGCTTTTGGTGACCCCAATTTTCAGTGATTCGGATTTTTCAGAGTTAAACAGGAGGAGGAGGGTGTGGCAGGACACTGAATATGGAACGGCAAACTTCTTTAGAAGGGACTCATATCCTTGATTACCAAACACTAAAGCCTCGTGAAAAAAGTAGGGTTTAGGAACCTCAAAGTAAGGCCTCGAAGGCGTACAGAATCCTTCCAGCTTTTTCCTGCACGACACTTACCTCAGACACACCAACGATGATGCCAAATGCCAGCATGATGGGGCCGAGCCTCTCCCAGATGTCCGCTTGACTGTTGACCAGGGCGTTCGGCAGGAAAGACAGCCCAAGGGAGCCGACACTGCAGATGCCAATGGAAAGCCGTTGAGTGCAGGGGCGAGGGCTTCGCGGCGCCGGTTATACTGAGAATACCAGGCAATGGAGGTCAGGATCTGGCTGCCTTTCTTGCAGTCGAAGCGTCAGTGAACGCTGCGCTGAGTCTGCTGACAATTGTCGACTTTGTGCAACTTCGGCCATGATCTAATGAGACTTGCAACAGAGTAGATATGGCGCGAAAATCGCACGGCATGCTGGGCAAGAATCGTGCCCCATGAACATAATTGACAGTAGCTTTCAACTTCGATACGTTGAGGAAGTGTCGAGAAAGTTGGCGGCAGGCACCCTGAAAGTAGAACACTTACCTGGCGACGGTTGCGACCGCGAGAAAGAGCACCAGGCCCCAGCCGAGGGGCTTATTCAGAGAGCCGGCCTCCAGCAACTGGTCTACGTCTTCTTTCCTCTGAACAACGATGATGACCTACAGAGGAATAACTTGAATACTTTCAACCCTCTTGAATGCTCTGCATCTCACAGAAAGGATTCCGGGAGAGCTTTGGCCGCTTGATGGCGAATTTAGCTGAAGCTTCAATCCTCAAGCTGCGTAAGTCAGCACGACAGGTTGTCCTAGACCAGAAGTGGCCGCTAAGTTGACAAGTTGTGTTTCCGACCCCTTTCTCGCCGTTCACTTTCATTTTTCTCAGCCCTGACGATGCGAAAAAGACAAGAACGGAGTCTCCTACCGTGTCCTCCGTCCCAGCTGCGTAGTTATACCACACGTATACGTCTGTTCCGGCCGCCTCCTTCAGCTTCTTCTCCAGCACAGGGCGGACCTCCTCGAGCGGCTTCCTGTGAACCAGTTTGCAACCATTTCATTGTGTCAACCGAATTTCGTGATTCCAACAGCGCAAGTTAAGCTTGGTGTCGAACCGCCAAGACAATCCTTGTCGAGGCGTACTTCAGCTCCAAGGTCAGGAAGCGGCTACATTTGTCATTCTCATTTTGAAGCAACGGAGAACAACAGCCCGAACTGTAGAGCAAAAGTCTCGGCTTTCAAAGCGAGAAGACGCAAGTCGTTGTGTGAACAGCGGCTCACTTCAAAGCCCCCGGAAAGATGCCTCCGGAGCCATATCGGATGCTGTCCGTCACATTGAATGTATTGTAATCGAACGCCCTTCGCAGCTGCACAAAAAGCAAAGGAGCCGCTTGTTAGTGACCCTCAGTTTGCAGGTTGATCGTGAGTGGCACCACCCAAATTCAAGAAGACAACCTTCTGAAAAGCCAGGGCAACCCAACGGATTGCTGGTTTGACTTCGCTTCAGCGCGGGTGTTTCAGACGAGAGAGCCGTCCGTTGACCCAAATCCTACCTTCGAAGCCCTTGAATGAATCGTATATGGAGGCCAAAGTCTGTTGATTATGCCTTGACAATGATGACGACCCTGTTCTCGAAGCTCTTTGAGAAGTGATACCTTAGGATAAAGTGCCTACGACAAAAGGCTTTGTCTTTAACCATATGCACAGGCGGCAAGATCGGTCAACATTTGCACGTACGACAATCTTAGAAAGGCGAAAAATTATTTTGGCTATATTTGCAACAAAGTATAGTAGAATGCGGGTCGAGAAGCGCAGGTTCAGCACCAACAATAGCGAGACTCGACTCATACACAATCCGCCTGGTCGAACCGTCCAGGAAACCACCATTCTCAAGGCCCATCTTTAGAGCCTTCACCTATTCCGACCAGCATACAGACTGAAGTCGATTGCAGCGTTGTCCAGCGCCTGTTGCACTCTCACCTTGCCTAGGTCGAGTGGGTCTTTGATGAGCCCCTGTTCCTTGGCTGTCTGGTACGCCTGGTCAATCGCCGCATGCAGAGTGTCCAAATCCTTCTGGCTCAGCTCCGCACCCTTCTTCTGCTGCTGGCTTTCCACCTTCTGCGCCGTCTCCTTGGCTGTCTTGAGCTGTTCCTCCGCTTTGGGAAGCTCGTGGTTGTTTTCCTCTGCTTCGTTCTTCAGCTGCTCCACAGCTTGTTCCGCCTTCTTCAGGTTCTCCAGGGCTTTCAGATAACTGGCCACTGCAGGGCGGTGGGGAGTTGTTAACTTTAAGCCCTATAACCGCTCATTAAACAGTGCAGGGCCAACACAATGAAGCTCTCTAGGATTGCGGATACAGTAAGTGTACAGTTACTGTACACTTACTGTAAAGTCGAAGCCTATATCATTTGGTTTTGAAAGGAGTCACTGGTTGAAAAGCGTCCATCTGGCATTTGTACGATGCTGCGGGTACTCACGTAACGCTGCATCGATTCCACTGTCCTCCAAAGGTTCAAAAGCAGACAGAGAGTACTGTAGACTCCGGAGAGGATGTAAGACTGACTTTTGATTCTTCTCAGCCATTGTCTGGCTGTCAACCTTAGTCAGAGGAAGATAACAAGAGTTTGTATTCGTCGCCAAAATAGATGGCCCTCGGCAGAGTCCCTGACCACCTTTTCATAAACGATTCTGCAATCCTGGCTCGAAATCTTCTATGCCCCGCCGGGTTGGCCTTAAAGGTTTCGAAACTCCTTACCACTGAAGTCTTCCTTCTTCTTCTCCTTCACCTGGGTGCTGCCATCCTCCCCCTCTGCCATGCACACCCATCGTGGCTGACGCATCTGGGGCTTACGACTGGTGGGCACAGGCCTGCCGGCCACTTTCTGCAGAAGATAACAGAAAGTGTAAGACTTTTGATCAAGCTTCGCAACTCTTGCCTTAAGTGGAAATGATGGTGTTGTGCCACCCATGATTGAATACTTTGATTGAAAAGCCGCATCCTCCTTGCCTCCAGTCGTTTGAATAAAAGGCTACAAGCGTTCAATCGTTTCAAGTGTCCCAGGACTCAAGTCAGGGGCAAAGGCCAATCTTTTCTTTGTTCCCCAAATGCAATTCCTTCCTGGATGATGGAAGTGCAATGAGACCTTTGAGACAACGACAAATACCTTTTCAATCAAGCAAATCATCAGCTAGGGAGAGCTCAGGTTACTAGCTACCATAAACCAGGGGCTGAAGCTGAAGGCTGAAGTTATTGCCTGCAGAGCTTGGTAGCATTTCTATCAAAGGAGCGCAATGTTGACGAAGAGTTCGTAAGAAACAGGCAACGCAACATTGTTTAATGTCTGGAAACAACAGTCAACTTCCACGACTAAGACGATATTTTCTGGAAGCTAGCTCCTGACTTGGCTCTTTAAGTTACTGTATTAGATGCCCATGAAAGTAGCCCATAAGTGACGGTTCAGCCAAGATCCTGCAGCCACCTGGATACACCTCAAATGAAACTCAAAGCTAAGAAAGCATACTGAAGACATAGTACCACCAAAGGGGGGACTCTCTTAGGCCTGCGTTGATTCAAAAGACCTCCAAAAGGCTCACCACTTGATGTTTTCTCACAGCATTGTGTGCCCATCGAACGGCATGGACGGACTTCTCTGGTTTGGGAAGTGAACATGCAAGTGCATGCCCGCATGCACTGCCGCTGGCCAACAGCACAGCCTGCGAAGTCATCCTTAAAGCGGGAGTTGCTTGCTATCCCTTTCTAATTGTGTTCGCTTGCTTGTTGAGGGGGAAGAGAAGGATTAAAGGAGGCGCAGCATTTCAGTCCCCCGCCTTCTGATCGCTTCTGATCAGCAACAGCAAGAATTTCGCAGGAGCAGCACATAACCGTCATGATAACGTCACTCTGTGAAAGAAGGCAACAACTTGATGAGTTGGCCACTCGGAAGGCTGAGAACTTTCAATGAATGAACCATGGGCCAATCGGACGGTATGAAAAGCTTCCAAGGAGTTACCACGTGAGCACCAGGCTGATGTCAACTCAGGATTAAACTGGTCTAGCGCGGCATGTTTGATTCATACTTCAATTTCAAAGCTCTGCCGCGCCTGCTTGCTGGCGCCGGTCTGGAGACGAACTGTGAATGTGGCCCGGGCAGAATTTGTACAGTGGCTCAAAATTTGGGCGCACAAGCTTGCAAAGATGCCGGTGAGTTTCTAAATCTGGTTGTTCTGTAAGGTTTGCTTTGCAGCTTGCCATTTCCAAGTGCATTTGGTGGCCAGCTTTTTGGAAAAGACTAGCATCTGCATGCAGGCACCTTGCTTCAGCCACTTTGCAGCCGTTGTTTGAAGTTCGCAACTAAATTCCTGGTAAACCTTCACTTTTCTTCCCTCTTAGCGTTCCACAATGCATCCTGGGGAAACGTTTTCTTGCTTAGAGACCTTCTCCTCCTTTTCAGACGGACATCCGCAAGTTCTTTGCCCCAAAAGCTCCAAAACGGGATTCTGTGGTGAGTCGTGTTGCTTTACTTTCGCAGTCATAGATACGAGCAGCATCATTGTGCTGTCCACACTCCGCGCTGTGATAGAGTAAACAAAGACTTTCTGGAAGACCGAGATGAAATTTTGCTCATCAGGTTTTTGATATCCTGGTGGTGGTGGAGCACGCTCACTTTAGTTTTTCACTTGAAACTTTGTAGAGGCAGCGAACGTGGATACAAAGATCTCCACTCGAGACTCTTCTTGTAACACCGGGATCACACCATGACACATAGGCACACCCCTTGTGCGACCTTCATAGCCTTTCCTGCGAGGGGCATAGTCTTTTGATGGGCATTCTCAGTTTTCCGATGGGCGCAGACTTTTCTTGTTGGGCGTAGTTAATCACCTTCATGGTCAGAACTCTACGATCAAGGGGTTCAATGAGGATTCTCTTCTCAAGCATGTGCTTTATATTGTTTTGTTTCTTATCGCATTTCCTTCTTTTCAAACAATATCGGTGCCAAAGTGTATACATATAATGCCCATTGCTGTAGGCAGGATGACATGGCTCCAGCACCCTCTACAAGTTGCAGACCTCAATCAACCTAGTGCTCTTTCGTCCAATCAGGTTGCTGCGAAGCCTGAAAAGCAGGATGCGCCTGCGAAGCCTCCCAAAGTTGAGGCGCCTGCAGAGGTGCCAAAGCGATCGAAGAAAGAGGAGACACAGGTGAAGCCGGGGAAGCGGGCCAAGAAGGAAGAACCGGAAGAGAAGAAGGCGCAGGGGGCAAGCCCCTTAGAAAGCTTTAGAAACAAGGCTGCGCCCAAGGAGCGCAAGCGGCCCAGCGATACCAGGGACGATGTCAAAATCGTGTCACCACCAAAGAAGCAGAAGGTCAAGGAAGGTGAGAACCAAATCCATGTTGTTTAAAGTTTGTTAGAAAGGTTCAACCGTCTTCTTAATAGACGTCCTGGAAAGGTTTAATGATGGGCGGAGTATCTTCAGAGTTCACTACGTCAACGTTGCTTCTATGGCGATTGCCGAGCGCCCTCTTGCCACAAAGACGTATCCATGTCCAGTTTTGAGGCGACGTTTCCCCTCGAGCGAGCCCGATCTAAACGGCTTCTCCCTATCTCTCCCGGTCAGTTGACGAAGATGAGCTCGACGAAGACGAGGATCCGTCTCCAGCCCCAAAGCCCAAGCCCAAGCCGGCTACGACTAGCCCAGCTGCGACCAAAGCTGCTACCCCAAAGCCTAGCCCCGCAGCGAAAACGCCTGAGCCTGCAGGGCCCAGTGGGAGAGGGGCTGGAGCTCCACCGAGGGGGGGTGCTGCTGGAGCCGGAAGAGGGGGGGGGAGAGGGGGCGGCGGGGGCGGTCGGGGATGGGGGGGCGGGTTTGGGCAGCGGGAAGCACCTCCTCATAAAGGAGAAAAGGTAGGGGTTTCTAGTCCCCGTGTCAATGGACGACTTACCTGGGGCGTCAATTTGGTGCCTGGATTCAAGTGCAGCGGCAGTCGGAGGTTTTTAAAACGGTGCAATCGCGTATAGTCCTTCAGGTTTGTCGTCGAGTTTGTCCTATTTCGAGACAAGCCTCTTCAAAGCCTGCCCGAAGAAAGTTGAGGACACGATCACTCCAAAGTTGGGAGAACGCATTGAGTATCCCTTTTTCAACGGCTATCTCAATCATACAAGCCAAGCTCTATACTACTGAATCAGGGCTGATTGCTGTTGACGACTTCATTCGCCATTGCAGGACGTTCCAGAAGGCAAAGAGGATGCACTGAAGGGCCTAACTTTCGTCATCAGCGGGGTTCTTGACAGGCAAGGAACCTTTGCCAACTCCCTTCGTACTGAGGACAATTCCGCACAGCTGGTCGTTCGACTTCTTTCACAGTTGCCTTTGTAGACGGTAAGGTTTGCAGCTGTCCAAGATCAATGCAGACCTCCGGTGGACGGTATAGCCAACGTCTGGATTTGATGGAAAACAGAAGACGCACCAACGTTCCGATCGAAAAACGACCCGCTGGAAGATGACGGGTGTACTTTGACTGCTCCATTAGTCTGCGCAGAGATCGACTTCTACTGATGACGAGAATGTCCTTTCCTGGCTGGTCTTAGTACATCTATGCTACCTCTACAGTCCACATTGGTCCACGTGTGACGCTTTTTCCTGACTGCTCCTCAACCTCACCATTCGCTCTCGCCCTTCCAGTCTCGAGCGAGAAGAAGCCGAGGACCTGATCAAGCGGCACGGCGGGCGAGTCACGGGCTCCATTTCGAAGAAGACGAGTTACTTGCTAGCGGACGAGGACGTCGGAGGGAAAAAGTCGCAGAAAGCGAAGGAGCTGGGTACGCCGTTTTTGACGGAGGACGGACTGTTTGATATTTTACGAGCGTCGAAGCCGCAGGCGGGGAAGTCCAGCAAGGCGGCCATCGACGCGCTGCCGGACGAAGTTGCGGAGACGGTGCGGGCAGGTGAGGGGTACAATCGAGCGTGATATCTCTATGGTCTCCTGGCTTGCAAATTTCTGACCGATGATTGCCAACCTGTTATTTGCGTAATAAGAACGTTGTCTGAAATTCTGCCCTCCTTCGTCACGGCGCTTCAAGGAGAGTGAATTCGACCAGCGGCAAAAGAAAAGACCCCCACGCTTGACTGTAGCGTTCCGTCTTGCTTCACGCCTTCTTTTGCGTCCGTAGCCTGTAGTGTGGGTCTTTGTCGCCCTTGGTTTGATCCACGAAGTCACCTTCATTCTGTTTGGGGTACAGCGGTTTCCCTTAACCCTGTTCGAGGTCGCGGACGTGGTTCCGAGCGGTGTGCACGGTATCGAGTTTGGATACGGTGCATGGTATTGCCAAAAATGGTAAATATTGTCTACGAGTTGAGCTTCATGGCCGGGTCGGTTCGGACCGGCTACATTCCAGACTGGGACCGATTTGTCTCTGCGCATCAGTACCGACCATCGTAACCATGCACCGCGCAAATCGAGCTTTCCGTAAGCCGCCCAGGTTGGAGGGAAACCAGTATAACATTGCCTCTTCCAAGCTCTTCATGTGCTGAAGTGGCCCCCTCTGCCCGCAGCCAAAGCCAAGACGGAAGAACAGGATAAGAAGGCGGCCGCCGCCGCCAAGAGAGCGAGCGCGAAGAAGCCCGCCGCTGCGGGGAAGGACGTCAAGCCCGACGTTCCGGGGGAGGCCTGGGTGCACAGATATGCGCCGCAGAGCCTGGACGATATGGTCGGCAACCAAACGCTGGTGAGCCTTTCGACAGGAAGCTTCTGCCCTTGTGGGCCTCCGTCCACGATTTTATTGTTAGTTGATGGCACATTGGAGTCCTTGCCAGCGTTTCCTCAGCTTGAAAAAGCTCTCAAGCGGGAAAGGAGCTTCCCGCCCCTCTGCTTTGTTGCTTACATTGCCACAGAAGTCGCTGGCCCCTCTCGTCTCGGATAGGTTCACCTTTGTCGAACTTACGAGGACTGCCAAGACAACGCCTGTGCTCGGAACAAGTTCTCAGTTACTGCCTTTCGAAGCCCGTCATGATCGCTGTTCTGACGCCTTGTTGCGCCCTCTCCAGGTGTGCCCCCCTGTTGAACTCACGAGGACTATCGGATGCAGCCAGGACAACGCCCCCTGTGCACGAAACAACTTATTTAGTCACTGATTTTCGAAGCGCGTCTTCATTGTTCTTCTGACGCCTTGTTGCGCGCCCCCCAGGTGAAGCAGCTGAAGGACTGGCTGGAGTCGTGGGAGCAGGTGCACAACGGGGGCGGCAAGGGCAAGAAGAAAGTGACGACGTCTTCCAAGCCAAAGGCTGCGCTGCTGAGCGGAGACCCGGGCATCGGCAAGACGACGGCCGCCAGGCTGGTGTGCCAACAGCTGGGCTTCCACGCACTCGAGGTGAGGGCCGAAGGAACTCGTGGGTAATTCCATCGTCCCTTGCGGTGTTGGGACGCTGTAAACCTGGGAGGCTTAGCGTTCTTGAAGCGTCTCTGTATACTCGTGCGCGCAGGGCACGAAGTCCTGCAGATTCGGTGTCCCCGCAGAGCATGTTGATTAGAATAGGAGCGAAGTCCTGCCTGCAGTATTGAGGATCTTTCATCATGCTCCAAACTTTCTCGTGCTCGTCACGGTTTTACAAGGAGACCTTTCTTTCCGGCGAAAGGGCCTTCGAGGGACGCTTAATGGGCAAAGCGAAACTTGGTCAAGCATCAGCCAGATGATCTTGCAGAAAGTCCTGTCGCTTCTGTTTGACTTCACAAGTTTGTGCACGCCATTAAGGTGAACGCGAGCGACAGCCGCAGCAAGGCTGACGCCAAGGCGCGCAACGGAATGGGCGGCAAGACGTCCAACATCGTAAAGGAGATGGTGACGAACACCGCGCTCGCGTTCGGGATGGACGAACAGGAGGCAGCCCCGGTCCAAGGTACGTAGCTCTATTTTCGATTTCGAAGAGTAGCTTGCAGATCCACGGGCGCGTTTTGAAGGGCAGAAAGAGTGCCTGTGATTCCGTTCAAGGGCTCCGTTTAAGAGAGAAGGTTACAGTGATGCTCAGGTACAGGGCTCGAACCGCTATTTGAAGCGTGGCGAGTCGTAAGGTTCTGTAGACCTTTTGAAAAGCTTTGCAAAACTTCGGCAGGATTTTGGTTTGGCTGCGGGATGGGTACAGGATAGGTGGTTGTTTGTCTTGTGAAGGAAAAACGAACAGCTTGACGGCAATCCGGCAACCTTCGCCCCGTTGTGAACGGTGGGCAAAAGAAGGCGGCTTTTTCCTCTCGCACAACCGATGTCTGTAGCCCCTACAGCAGATTTCGGCTAAGCCGACACACAGCCCTTGTTGAGAAGCCTTTCTCTCGCATGGTCAAAAGTAAACATCCGACCTCGGTGAGCAGCTCTTGATAGCTGCACTCTCAACGACTCAATTGTGTCTAAGTTCTCGTAAGCGTTTCGGCCAAGCGACTCTGTCCCTCCGCAAAGTCCAGCCCGTTTCGTTCGTCCGGCAAAGGAGGAAAACGGTGGAGGCGCCAAAAAATCATCAGGCCGACTTTATCTTTACGCCACGTCCCACCCCTTTCGTTTGGCAGGCAAAGGGTAGGAGCCGGAGATAATCAGGCCGACTTCATCATTGCGCGACGTCCTTCTGTTATTTCGTTCGTCAGGGATGGAAGAAGAAGATGGAGGACTCAGAAACGATCAGGCCGGCTTTTTCTTACTCAACGCCTTACACCGTTTCTTCGTCAGGCAAAGGGAAGAAGAAGGTGGAGGAGCCAGAGCCCGCCACCCAGAGGCGACCCGTGTTGATCATGGACGAAGTCGACGGCATGTCGGGAGGGGACCGGGGGGGAGTGGCCGACCTGATTGCAAGTATAAAGACCAGCAAGTGAGGCTTTGATCGCCGGCTTCAATCTACGGCGTGCGCCCTTTGGCTTCCTTTTAGATGCTGGCGCGTTGGGCTCTGCGAAGTGCGATTTACGTCTTTGAACCAGATCTCAGGCGCTGCTCTTGTGCTCTCTCCCTCTTCAACAACCTTCCTGCCTTACCAACTTCGACAAGACAGCCTGAATTCAGATTGTATTCTTTTGCTATATAAGTCGTTCGTTGAGCCGGTTTACCGATTTGGCGATCGGATGTACGACGGTCTTCTCTAGACGTTCGCTCTCGTAGCGAAACCGACTTGTCACTTATTAGATCTGACAAGCGTGCCCTGGTCGTTAAAGCGGCGCCCTTGGTATCCACGATCTGACGGGCCCGTTCGTTGCGCCCGTGCAGGATTCCCATTATTTGCATCTGCAACGACCGGTACAGCCAGAAGATCCGGTCGCTCACCAACTACTGCCTGCAGCTCAACTGGCGGAAGCCCACGAAGCAGCAGGTGAACGCTTTTCTCTGTTCCTCTTACGAAGAGGAGATTGTATCTGGTTGAATTGGTCGTCCTCATAAGTGCTGAGCATCGGCCTTGAATGTTGGGTGCTAAGCCCAATGAACGGAGAAACTTATCGAATTGAGTTATCCATTGAAGTTGACTCGTTGCTAACAAAGGCTGTCGATAGGTCTGAACTCGAAGCGTCTTGATGCAATACGTGCTGAAGCACTCATCGAGCAAGTGTATTTGCAGATGTCGAAGCGGCTGGGCTACATCGCACAGCAGGAGGGCCTGACAATCGCGGATAACGCGCTGGAGGAGCTGGCAGAGCGGGTCAACGGGGACATGCGCATGGCCATCAATCAGCTGCAGGTGCGCGTTCGCGAGGACCCTGATCCGATTGCAACCTTTCGCTTCTGCCCACCTTGGCAAAGCTATGGCTGAAAATTCTGGGCTTGCTTTTTTGAGGACAAAGCTCGTTACCCTGATGCAACACGCTTCCTTGCTGTCGAGATTCCAGCTCTGCTTATGTGCGGCGATATAGAAGGCTGAGCGCCCATCTGCTGTTTCCAAACACAGTGCAAGCTCTTTGATCGATTTGATCAATTAATCTCTAGGAAATAAGTATTGCATATTTAGTCGGAGCAGTAGATTATCAAACCCCTCCTGGACCATAAGTAAAAGGTCGGGGTGCCAAATACTGTTTGCCCCTTGTGAAACCGATCGGCTGTTTCCCGCTTCGCAGTACATGGGTCTTCGGCCGACTTGTTCACTCTAGTCTCTAGCAACATTTGCGAACGCCCCCAATATCTCATACAGCACAAGATAGACTAGAACGCACCTTTTCGGGTTCCGTAGTACATGGCGTTGCTGTGACCACCGTAAGCGTAATGGAGCCCCTTCCGATGGAAGGTGCCGTCACTCATTTACGTTTGATTTCGAGACGCAAGCGGTCAGACCCCCTGTCTAGCACACTGTCCGTTGATACTCATGATTTCCGTTTCCGCAGTACATGGCGTTGCTGTCGAGCACCGTAAGCTACGGCGCGATGAAGGCGCGATTAACGGCGAGCGCCAAGGACGAGGACGTGACGGCCTTCTCGGCCGTAGACAAGCTGCTCGGCTTCGAGGGGGGGCGCCTCAGCATCAATGCGCGCCTGGACCTTGCAATGCAGGACGCCGATCTAGAGCCGCTCATCGTGCAGGCAAGTATTGGGTCAAGGTTGGTTAAGGCTGGGTTAAGTTGGGTTAAGGCAGCCGGCTGAGCAGCAATATGCGCCTGGGCCTTGCCATGCAGGACGCCGACTTAACGACGCTCATTGTGCAGGCAAGAATGTGGTAAAAAGTTAGGTTTACGTTGGCTGATTCCCGGTTTGAGGTAGGTGAAGGGCGCCGGCTGAGCGGCAACGCGCGCTACGCTTTGCCATGCCGGACTCCAATCTGGAACCGCTGATCGTACGGGCAAGTACTGGGGTCTACGAATTCCAGTCGGCTTTGCATTCATTAAGGTTGGGTGCAGCTGGAGCGGCCCGCTGAGCATCAGTGCACGCCTGGACCTGGCTATGCCGCTCGGTCGCCGACCTGGGCTTCTCATCGTGCAGGCAATTACTGTTCTGAGAAGAATTCGATCGGGTTGACCTTGATCAAGTTTGATTGAGCTGGGTGAAGGCAGCTGACTAAGCGTCAATGCGCGTCTAGACCTCGCCATGCAGGGCCGTCGTCCTGGAGCGGCTCATTGTGCAGAAGCAGTTTCGCAAGTTCATCGGTGGCTTGCTTTTTGCTCTTTACTAAACTCTTACTTTCTTTCGAAAGGCAAGATTCAAGCTCTTAGGTTGCAAACCTACGCTGCTTTCGGAAGTCACGCAACACCAAACGAACGAACCAGCCGTGCGATTGTTCTGCAGGAGAACTATCTCAATTACGGGGGGGGTCTTGGCGCGGACGATCCACGTCGGCTCGACGTCATGACCCGTGCCGCTGACGCCATTGCGGATGGTGACGTGGTCAACGGTCGTGTCCGGCGGTATCAGCAGTGGGGGCATATGCCGTTTAGTGCCTTCAACTCGACCGTGCTGCCGGCGACTTATTTGCACGGCAGACGGGAGGTGCTGGCCCCGGTAAGCCGCGCACGAGCGAGGGAAAATGGGTCAGTTAGACCCTGAACATTTATCATGTGGACAATCACTTCTGGAGAGGATGACTGAGCAAACCGCTCCCTGAAATCAGTTGACAGAGGCGCATGTGCCATGCCGCCTTCACGCCGCAGGCTTTTCGTGAGGGGGTTCGTTGCTAGCGAAACCCTCAGGATATCACTTTAGAAGCGCAAGGGAAAGTATCCTGTATCGACTTTCTAAGTCGCGCAAGGCCTAAAGTGCGCTTTTAGTTGCCAGCAAATTCGGTACTGGGGTGAGACGCCGAACCTCTAAAGCCCGTTCCCTAGATGTTTTTGGCTTCGGTGATGTCCATGACGTCAGCAGACTTCGAAACACCAACGCTGGTTCCCTGGGCGGGGCGAGCTTGTTTCTTGCCTTTGTTGATGCTCATGACGTCAGCAGACTCTGACGGCCGCGCTGAATTCCTCTGCCAGGGCGAGCGCAACTTCAACCGCTTCGGCGGCTGGCTGGGCAAGAACTCGACGCAAGGCAAGAACCGGCGGCTGCTGGAGGAGCTGCGCGTGCACGTGCTCTACTCCAAGTGCGCGGAGCCCACGTCGTAAGGCCCCCCCCGGCAAACCTCTTTCTTCTGTTTTGTATTCATCTCCTCTCTAGTTCCTTTTTGTCATCTTCTCTCTATTTTTCTTTTCCGCCCTCTACTCTTTTTGAAGAATCACCTTTCCGTATCCCCCTTAGGAGATTCCCCAGTTTGCACTCATGCCGGCCTCTCTCTTTCACCACGCGGCCGTCGTCTTTTCTCAGCAAGAGACGTTTCGGCGCTCGCTCCGCGAAGGCGCTTTGAACTTGTCAAAGACGAAGCAGATGCGATAACAGAAAGTTTTTGTATCCACAAGTGACATTCTAGGGTAGTCTTTTTGGCACGAGGACCTTTTGGTGCCTGATTTACGAGCCAACCGCTCTTGAAAGAAATACGTATCACTGCCTGACGCCCATCATCTCCCTCACGGGGGGCGCACATCAGCCGAAGTCTCGTGTGTCTAGCCCAGCCGTTTTCTGATCAACAACGTGGTGCGGAGTCCTCATAATGTTTTTGGTTTACAGCGGCACTTTGCGGTTGGACTACCTGTCCCCGTTGAGCCGGCGGCTGACGGAACCACTGCGGGACGACGGGAAGGAGGGCGTGGAGGAAGTGGTGGAGCTGATGGAGGAGTACGGGATCAGCCAGGAGGACTACGATACCGCGCTGGAGCTAACAAAGTTTAAGGTCAGCGCTTCTGTGCGTTGATTGAGCTCAGATTTTGTCCTTTCAAGCAAAGATTGTTTACCATTTTGTGAATTGTTGGAGCACATTGAGAAGGAGCTGGCGCAAGGGGGAGCGAAGAAGTGCGAGGTCAGAGTTTCTCTGCTTGATTGCGCTTTGAATTGTTCGGTGTTTTTGCTTGGAGAGACCAATTCTTGAGAGCAGTCCAATGCTTAAGCACGTAGGAAGGAGACGGTGACGACATTGCGATCAAGCATCAAGTACAAGGTCATGATAACCGTCGGCACTCTTTTTCAGTCTCTTCAGACTCCTTGGAAGCAGATTACGCGGTCTGCCACCGTGTCGCTTTGAAAAGTCTTTGCAAGCAACACCCTCAGCTCCTTGCTTCGCCGTCCGGATGCTGCTTTCTTTCTCATCCAACTGAACTGGGGTCGACTCGTTCCCGCGTTCTCAAGCATGAATATTGCAGCCGGTTCGCCTTTCTTGAGTTCGGTTTGTCCGTCTCGTTTCCACGTTTGCTTGACCTCATTCCATTGATTGTCGCAGGACTTCGCCGACCCCCTTAAGGGCGTCCCTGCCGCCGTCAAGTCCCACCTGACGCGCACGTATAAGGGCCGGGCCAAGCTCCGGCACGTGACCGCCCCCGACATGATTGCGCTCCCGTCGGCCGCTATGGCCAAGAAGAAAACCAAGAAGGTGCCCGCGCGACTGGACGTCTTACCGCCAGACGAAGAAGGGAGGCCGGCCGAAGACGAAGCGCTGCTTGAAGGTACGTCCGTCCGAAATGCACCTTTGCTCTCTACCGCGCGGAAGTTGAATATATCAATGCAATGTGCCGAGGTTAGTTTGGAGTGTTGAGACTTCTTATAATGGAGCTCTACTTTGTTCGTGTCGTTGCGCGGCACTTCTTCGTCATGCTTGCTGTCGGATGGAGTTTGCGCAAAGATGTTGCAGGAGCCGTACTGATTTCGTCGTATTGTGATTGAACAACGGGTACGGTGAGCTGTACATTTCCCAGGTTCCACACGACGTAGTCAACGAGCCGTATACCTGTCGTCGCACAATAAAGGAGAGGTGTCAAGTTCTCGCAACCGGTAACCAACCGTATTGAACGACGTCAGACTTTCTTACTTTCTTTCTCGTAGGTGACGAGGACGAGAACGACGATGAGGATGCCGAGCAAGTGGAGAAAGAGGCCGCGAAGGAGGTCCTCTCCAAGTTGGCTGCTAGCAACCGCGATAGAAACGGAAACGGCAGCAAGAAAAACTCGAGGCCCGCGGCCCGGGCTCCCTCTTCTGCCGGCCCTAGTAAGAAACGGAAATAGACGGGGGGTCATTTTCATTCGGGAAGCACCCGGTCCGTTTGCGACAATTCGTTTTGAGCTCGTTATGGATACGTTATGGACGATTGAACCACGATAAGTCCGGGTTAAACGAGTCCGGTTAACTACGCTTGCTGTTTTCCACAACGAGTCATGCTTCACGCTTCACTCTTTTGTCAACATCGCTTCGCGATTCTTCTTTACGTCCTGAGCATGAGCATTTGAGTTTGTTCAGGTCGTGGGCACCGAGTCAGAGTTCCCTGCTCCGCTTGGCCGGTCTGCATTATTCGTGGCTTGAATACTGCCGGCGTGCCCTGGCATGAGCTATTAGGGTGTGGTCACAAGCTGTTTAACATGCACAAGAAGGGATCGCTTTCCGGATATGGAGCATGAGGTACGCATGTTATTACCAGATATTGCATGCACGGTGCCGCCTGTATGTAGCTGCCCCGTAGTTGAGACCAGAACACCGTCTCATGATTCATCTGACTGTTATTCAAGTACGCCGTTGATTTCATGCCATAGCGTTGTAGAAGAAGCTTGCGGACCCGCCCCTATCTTTCTGACATTTCAAGATTCGATCGAAGCGATAAGGTGTAATGTTGCCCGTCAAATTCATCATCGACGGTCCGCGCAGCCCTCAGGCAAATTGAGGCAATTTGCAGTGTCAATCGACCCTGACCGTACGGAACTTGGAAATCGAACCTTT